TTAATTATATATATTATCTAATTATATATAAAATATATCAATTTTTTATATAATTATATATGAAACATTTTTTCTCTGGATATTACTGGTTTCTTATTCACTAATTTTAACAGGGACGCGAGTTTCCATAAAGATATTGGTTTTTAAATAGTATCTCGATGTTTAAAACAACCTAGTAAACGAGAATGGATTGAAATGAATTGAAATGGATTTAGATATTCAGAATTATAATTCACGAATGTTAAAATGAATATTTTTCAATTCTGAATGCATTTATATTCATTTATAGGAATTGCATGGAACATGCCTTTTTTCTCTATGCCTTTCAATCTAAAAATAATATTAACTTTTTTTGTGCACACAAACACAATTGTGAATACTGTTCAATTCAAAATTTTGAATAGGAAATACAGTTTTTCACTCCAATTGAATCTAATTGAATCCAATTGAATCCAATTAAATTCAAAAAAAATATTCGCATATTTAAAATATGCATTCGGATAGAAAAAAAATTCAATCCATTCTCGTTTGCTTCTGGGAACCTACTTAACAATTATTTGTGAAATATACGTTATGCAATTATCCAATGATTATATATGTGCAATAAGTGTGCATCCAAAAGATAAGCAGTATTTAATATATTTAAAAGCATCAGCTAAAGTTTGACATATATTTTCTTATCTTTTCATGCAAATTTTAAATCGCATAAAACGAGTTTAAAATAATTAATGATCAACGGAATAATAGTGAAACAGAAATTTGAAGTGTCTCGCCCCTGTAAAAAATTTTTCATACATAAATATGTATAAATATGTATAAACATACATACAACTCGTATAAATATTCATAAACATGCATAATTATATATGAAATATGTCCATACATATTCATATTCCTCCTTTTTTTTTGTAAAATTATTTTTTAGTGTAATAGAAATAATAATAGTAAAAAACATTAAAAATAATTAAAAAGAAAATTTTCACTCTATATTAATTGTTTTAGAAAAAAATCGAGTTTAAAGAAATGTGAAAGAATTACTTATGTATAATTATATATAAAATGATGCATAATTATGTATGAGCAATTTTATTAATATTTTTCCAAACTTGTTTTTTTCTAAAACAAACAATACGAAAATTATTCCTTTAATTATTTTTAATGCTTTTATATTACTATTATTATTTCTACTAAAAAGTAATTTTATAAAAGAAAGAAGGATATGTATATGTATGGACATATTTCATATATATATATTTCATATATAATTATATTTATGAATATTTATGCGTGTTTATGAATATTTATGCGTTTATTATATATTCATACATAATTATATATATTTATGCTTGAAAAATTTTTACCGAGAGGGAAGATAAGTCAAGAGATACCAGTCTTTGATTAAATTTTAATTATATTCAGTGTCATTATATTCATATAACACAAGATACACAATCAATTTACAATTCAATAATCATTATGTATAAGATTTCACTTGGATTTTTTCTCTATTGGTACTTACAATTAGCAGTAATACTCGTCAATAATATAGCTTCTCGCTATTTCAGAGAACATCGCACCAATGCGCAACAGTTCCCCGATTTATCAATGCATCCTGTCTTTTCCCTTTCTCTCACTCATTCACACTCTCATTTTTGCGCATTCATTTGTATATAATACGTTCGCTTATTAGCGTCGTCGATCGAAAAGTTAGATAAAAATTCTCGAAGAATTCCCTCAACTGTTATAATTCCCACGATTACGACGATATATTACTCTCAATAGGTGTGAGTCCTTAGCGAAATGTTCAATACTTCTTAAGATTCTTCTCTTCTTCGAAGTTGCAAAGAAAAAGCTTTACAGATTCTCTCCACGGCAAAGAATAAATTCGCCACTTTAATCGGCAACCTAGGATTCGGTGTTGATTACAGCGAATTACTTCTGTCGTCTATTAATTATTTAAGCTTTTTCTTTTCGAGAAATAGCACGATCAATCCACTTTCTTCTTGTTTACAAAATTAAATTTCATTTGGAGTCAATTTAAAAGTTAATTTAAAAGTCGAGTCGCAGGCGCCAGGTAAAAGATGATGTGTCCTGCATGAATACGACAAAACATACAAGTTCTAATCATCTATCACATAAATACCTTATGTGATGTAACTAGAATGCTTGTCACTTGTTTTCTCTTGTTTTTTATTAGAGAAAAAGACTTCTTCAGGTGAGATTTTGTCCGATTTTTGTTTTCTTTTTATTCCTTTGTATGTCATCGCCGTTTCTTTAGTAATGTCGAATTTTTATTTAAAAATTTTCTTAGAAGATTAGAGTAACTGCTTAGAGTATTTTCAACATTTTCTCTTTCTTTTCCACCATTTATACATTTAATTTGCGACTTTCGTGTAGTTTCTAAGTTTCTTCTTTTATTATGCATCTTGCTTTTTCTCTTTCTTTTTTGCATTTTGACTACGGCTCGTGAAACGCTATTTGAATTAATCGGAAATTGAAACTCTTAACTGCAATGGATAATAATCAATATTGGAATCGTGAATTATGAATTACGAATCATGAATTATTAAAAAAAAATGCCTTTTGTCACATATTTTATTATACGTATTTATATTAGAATTTCGATTTATGATACATTTATGTATAATTACAGAGTGAAATAGATGATTCGAGACAATAGCCGATACTCATAATCCGTATTTTTTTAAGTCTTAAATATTGAGTCTTAAGGTGCTAATACATTCTGTGGCTAGTATTCATAGTCTGTTCTTATTTTAAAATTGTTTTAAGTAATATCTGAAGATACACTAATACAGATTGACTTATAATTTTAAGACTGTACTTAAAACAGTTTTAAATATAAGATTCGACTATGAATATACCAGCCTGCGATTGGCTTATAACGTCTTAAGACTGTTTCTTAAGACTCTATATTTAAGACTATTTCAAATATAAGAATCGACCATAAATACCGGCCAATGAAAGGACTTTCTCCAATGTGAAGATTAAGAAAAATCTACGAGAGTGAAAGTTCGACAAAGATTTTAAGAACTTCAGAATTCCATATACATAGTTCATGTCCAAGTATCTCTTGATCACGAGCCTGTCCGACTGAAAATGGATAACCAGTCTCTTACAATTACACTTCTCGTTACATTTCCTTGAAGCTGAACGAGATCATTTTAAAAGTGGGATAAAATGTACAGCTAGAACGAAAAGATAAACTGATCAATTTCTCTTTGCGAAATCATTTCCTGTTCTTCCGTTTATAAAAGTGCGATATCAGTTATCGCATCGCAACAAATTCGATTGGCGCGTCACAGTCCACGATGATCGATGGATCTGCAATCTCTTTTTTGAATACCGATTGCATCGCCATTGTTTTTGCACGCGATCGTTCGCGCGAAAAATTACTCGTTTATATATTTTATGTACATACATTGTTTCTCAATATTTCGTACAGGCATGGTGTAATATTCGCTAATCCGTAAAGTCATTAATCGAAGCAAGAAAATTATCTAAATTTAAATTTAAAATTTAAAAAAAGACAAAATGAATAATATAATGAATAATATTGGGAAGATAACTGTGTCTTCTTCCATTTTATACTAACAGAAACGTATGTAATATAGATAACGTCAAACAAATTTTTATAAGTTGATTTTAAAAGGACATATACGTATATAAGAATATACGTTGACATTCTCTCCTTTAAAACAATCAATAATCTAATATATTACAATTGGACGTCACATCGAGCCGCGAATTTAAACCTACCTTAAAATTATTAATTATCGGATAATGTTAAAAAACGTATGATAATAAAGGTATAATACAATTAAAATAAATTATCAAGATTTAGATAATTTTTTCTTTCGAGTGTTTGCTTTTTAAGCTCAAGCTTCCATTGCTTCTTTTTTCTTCTTTTTAATTTCAGCATATATCATTTTTATTACCTATAGTTGCGTTTATTTTAGATTTGCTTCAGCACGTACACAAACATAATTAATTACATGACGCGTATTCAGGAAACGGTACATAGCACATATATAAACACGTGCAAATTTGTTTCTCTCTCTTTCTCGCTCTCCATGCATTTCTATCTATGTATATCTATGTATATATGTATATGTTTAATTCACTTATATGATAGACAAAGGTACGTAAAATGTAGTAAATATAAATCGAAACATTATATATAGGAAAAAAGAGACGATTTTGTCCAATAGAAAACGAAATAAGGAAGAGAATAAATGTCGTACGCTCTCTTTCTTTAACAGATTATTATTGTTATTGTTATTGTGATTTCGTTCTGCTTGCATTGCATTTGTTATAATCGCGAAATATTTACTTGCGTCAAATCCGGAATTCTTTCCCTTATAATTCGCTTCATAATTCGCTTCATAATTTTATGAATAAAATTTTAATTTCGATAAATCGAGTCTCGATCGACAATAATTGAAAAGGTTAATAATTTTTAATCTGAAAATCTATTTTGTAGACTTTTTAAAAATTTATCTTCCAATTTTGATAATAATATGGCATACTACGCCGCAAATAACAAGTAAATATATTTGGAATAAAAAGAAAAGGGGAAATTTAATTAATAAGAGACAGTGACGTGGAAACAAGGGAAACGTATTTTTTTATGAACGAATAAAAAAAATCGCGCGTTTGAATTTAAAATTAGAGAAAAAATGTAATTCTGATCATTTATAAAAACTGATGAAAAATTGACAA